TGTTTCAAACTAATTATTCTCTATTTAGTACCTAGTGCGTGGAAGTAGTTTAAGGGATATCAACACAGAAAGTGAATTTAGCGAGCCGAGTTCAAATTCCAGCCTGTTGCGTTTGCTTCCGCAAAATTACTCTCAGGAAAGGCATGAAACTATCTTTTCTCCGCACTCATCCCAACCAGCCATGGATCAAATATCAGGTTAGACTGGCTTCTCTAATACTTTGTAACAACCAATCTAAAAAAGGAAAGCGCTGAATACCAAACACTTCAGAACGCAACAGGAAACCACTTCACTATTATTTCCAAAAGGTCCTGACAACACATAATAAAGAAAAGTAACATGTGGAGAGCCATGATCGTCTACGTTGTCTGAAACGATAGGGCATTGAAAGGAATTCTCATATTTCCAATATTTCTTGTATATTGCATTCTTTCTGATAGCTGCGACGTGAGCTTTGTCAAAATGCCTGAAAAAACAACTCTAGGTCAATAGTAGAAGGTTATCTTATGCCAGTTAAGCAGTTAGACATTGACAAAATCACTGCCAAATTTGATAGTTGAGATACGGAACCATTACATCCGAAGATCGAGAAGAGATTTGAGGTAACAGAAATGTGGTTGTACAGAAGGATGTTGAGAATACCCATATATATATATATATATATATATATATATATATATATATATATATATATATATCCTCTGGGTGAGGAAGTGTGGATTTTAAACAGTGGCTGTTATGGTTATTATAGCAAGACTCTTTGGTAAAGCGAATTGAGTCCTCTCAATCACTATGTCTAAAAATAAATACGCTAAAATACACCTTCATCCCGACGGCTTAGTCGTAGAATCGCCGACTGACGCCAATTTAGCGGGGTTTCGATCCTAGCTAGAGGCAACCGGATGTCTAGCCACACTGAAGAGCTGTAATTCAGCGAAACAGTCTGTCTGTGGATAACGATATATATATATATATATATAGTTACAAACACCATTGGCAAGTGTTGGAAACTGTATGTATTAAATTACAGCAACCTCATTTATACAAGCAGAAGGAGAATTTTCTTCAGTCCCTTCACTTATTTAGAGGATCGTGAGTATTAATTTCTTTCATATTTTACACTCACGCTGGACATTCTGAATTTACGCATATTTTACATGTTGAGAACACGTGAGGAACCACCAGAGACAACTAGGCTACCCGTGACCCGTTGGCTCACTGACAGTTCAGGTTATAAAACACTGAAGCTGATTTCAACATTAACATATTTCTGTTTGAAGACAGTTGAAAATAAAAATACTTACTGTATAAACAACTTGTAAATTTTATTCACTTAAAACATTTTTTTTAAATCACATTAACTTCATTTTTATTAATATGCCAAAAAATATTTTAAAATCGTATTCACTTGAAAACAGTTTTTTTAAATTTGTCATTTTTTTTTTAAATATTTGAAATACTCTGAAATACAAATAAGCACGCACAAAATCTCAGAGATGGAAAGAGAAAAGTGAAAAGAGAGATAGAGTGGTGGAAAGGGAGAGACGTGGAAAGAGAGAAGTGAAAAGAGAGATAGAGGGGAGGAAAGAGAGAGACGTGGAAAAAGAGAAGTGAAAAGAGAGATAGAGGGGAGGAAAGGGAGAGACGTGGAAAGAGAGAAGTGAAAAGAGAGATAGAGAGGAGGAAAGAGAGAGACGTGGAAAAAGAGAAGTGAAAAGAGAGATAGAGGGGAGGAAAGGGAGAGACGTGGAAAGAGAGACGTAGAAAGAAGCATAAGTTATTATACGCACCATTTCCTTCTCTCTCCCTTCCTACACGATAATAAATTTACATCTTTTTTTTTCTCCCACTCTCTATATATAAATTTCAGTGCACGGATGCAAACAACGTTTACAAAAGAGGTAATCAAAAAGGGCACTTGTAGGTAGCATCAGAAGGAGCCAGTTAAATTTTGTAGGTCACATAAGAGGCTTGGAAAATTTGACACTCACAGGATATATGGAAGACAATAGGGCTAAAGGGAAGTAACAGTGAACTTACCTAACAAGCTTGTCTAATTGGTTGACAGAACAATGATTAGGAAATATAGCAAAAAGACAAACCCACTAAGAGATATAAATGAGGAGCTTTTATACTCATGAAACAGCGCCACCTAACGGGCGTCTTGGCATACTAAGTGGAGGCAATTCTCACAAAATACAATCTTAAAATTTAAAATGTTATGAAGTATATGCTAATAATCATTTTTTTACAAAAGTTTTTACTTGCTTGACTTTTTAAAAAATTAATGGACCTTCATCATGTTTTTGTATATACGATATAGCATAGTGAAAAGTTTTCGACTTGATCACTTTCCAAAATCAGAACAAATCAAGGACAGGAAATTGTGGAGGGACATGATTCTCCAACCTTTTGAAGGCACATGGCACATAGAAGAAGAATGGTATATATTATGCTAAAATAATTGGGGAAATTGCAAGCAGGTCAAGAATTCTGCACTAAAATTTCTACCATTGACTCAATGTTACGTTGGCAGAAGAGGGGGAATGCCAAATGCTACAAAGAACAAGAAGTTATGGAAAGCCATGATTGTCGCCATCCTAAAGGGACACGGTACATAGAAAAAGAAGATATGTATGCTCGTCTACTTAGAGCAGTGCTGAGGGTCATCTGGGGAAATGAACAAGTTGTACATCAGCTTATATTATAATATGCAAATTATGGGAACAAATCAAGAGATAGTGCATTAAGAAAGTTCGTCGATAATCTCCTTAATTCGTCAAAATCGTTCAGAAATGTCTAATCTGTCAACATTATACAACCGCTTTCTCAGATCAATACTTAAAACTGTCTTGGAGCGTGTGAAGCACACAGGTCTTAGCCAGGACCATCCATCTTTGATGGTCGTGGACTGGCGCTACAGAATCACAAAGAACTGTACCAATTAACAGAAACCACATCACTTGAGAACTTTCAACAACGACAGCAACAACAAAAAGTAGGTTGTCCATGTAACGCGAAGATAGTGACGTCATCACAATAGCAACGCTCCATATTACAGCTTGAACAAAAGGTTAGGATGAAAATCTCCACCACCTGTCAACACTGGAAAGGTTAGTACGAAATTGTTTTTCGTTTTTATTTTCTGTCTTTACGATGTGAATTGTTCATTTCTTTGTTGTAATCAAAACACTTGGTAACGTGCTTCTTCCGATGAAGTGTTGGCTGAAAAGGATAACTTAAGGAAAATAAATAAAATGCCTTTGTGTAATTTTAAAAGTATATATATATATATATATATATATATATATATATATATATATATATATATATAGTTCCAAACACCATTTGCAAGTGTTGGAAGCTGTATATTAACGAAAGATGTTTAAAAGAAAGGTTGCTGCACAAATATACACTACACACACACACACACACACACATATATATATATATATATATATATATATATATATATATATATATATATATATATATATTACCTGTACTATATATATATATATATATATATATATATATATATATATATAGTAATAGATCCGTTGGTATATAATCCAGGTGGATCCTAGTAATATTAGATATTAAAATTGATCTACACAGAGAGCTCAATGCATTTTATTTATTATAACTGATTTTTATATTTTATGCAGCAAAAATCCAAAATTACCACATGAGGTAATGTTGGATTTTTGCTATATATATATATATTTATACAGTATAAAATTGAAAAAAAAGTTCCTCACAGGTCTCCTAAGAGAGATCAGATGATGTGTATCGCTCGAGCCTAGCCGAGATGAGGCACAAATTATCTTTCGTTTTTTTTTCTTTTCTTCACTATGTGAATTGTTCATTTGTTTATTCTAGTCAAAATACTTGGCAACGTTCTTCTTCCGATGAAGCTGAAAAGGATAACTTAAGGAAAATAAATAAAAATGCCTTTTTGTATTTTTAAAACTATATAAATATTATTGGATTCGAGAAACCTATTTTCCTGAAGAAATTGTTTTATTAGAGAGATTTTAAATTGTCTTCCTATGGTAGCACAGTTTGTTCGGTCAATTAGTGTGAAATGTTTCCTTAAAAAGAAACCGTTATTATTACCATTATCAATACCTGAGACGATGTCGAATTAAAGGTAAAAAGAACTGGTTAGATCTACGGATGACAGAAATGGTTGGAACGAAGTTGTCAGAAGCGTTCGTTTGAAATAAATCGATAATTTCAGATATATATATATATATATATATATATATATATATATATATATATAGTTAGTTAGTTAGAGAAAGAGAGAGAGAATGAACAGACTTAGATATATAATGAACAGATGGATAGATAGATAGATATATAGATAGATAGATAGATAAAGAACATAATAGACGATAGATAGATTGATTGATTTGACATTATCGCAAGGAGTTGTGATTTATTTACATGGTTATTTTGACCCTTCACGTTTCAGAGTTTTTGTTTTCTTCCCTTTTTTATCTCCAAGCACAGCTTCTAATTTGTATTTGTACCATTTGTCCTTATGGAAGAATTCAAGCCGCTCTCTCAGTTACCAGAGGATTATGTTCATATCTATTTTCTAAACTAGTTTCTTACATTCACATTTGATGTGGTCTACACTCTCGTCTTTCTCTATATAGGCATCTTCTATTACTATGATTATTATTTCTACTATTATTTTGCTTCTTATTTTTACTGTCGCTTTCAGTTTGAATAGACGCAAAATAATATATAATAATAAGAAAATGTGTGTTTGATGCTAATGCGTACAGAGCCATATTGAAACGAGAAAACGAGCATAAGTACGCATGCGTATAATTCAAGACACTTCGCTCAGTCAGAGTTTGGCATCTATATGTAATGCAAAATTGTAAATTGATGGAAAGGTACATCCCTGTGGGATAATGAACTTGTTCAGCAACTGACTGACTATCTTTGAAGGATGGCGACTGACAGAGAAGAAAATTACATAATTATTGAAAGTGAAAGAATGAAAAAGAAATAAAGGTGTGAAAAAAAAGAAAGAAAGAAAGAACAGATAAAAGAATAATGCGAAGGAATGAAAATGAAAAATGAAAATTATTCAGAGAAAGAGAAATGCTTTATTCAAACGGAGAAAGACAGTAAAAGAAATTAATAATCCAAACACAGAAAAAAGAATAATATAAAGAGAAAAGTAAAGAAAAAAACTAATTCAAAGAAAGAAAGAAAGAAAGAAAGAAAGAAAAAATTGATTCAAAAAGAGAAAGAAAGAAACAAAAATAATTCAATGGGAGAAAGAAGGAAAAGAAGGAAGAAAAATATAGAAAACGGAAGATTAAGTAAAAACTGGAAAATAAAAGAAAGAAAGAAAGAAAGAAAGAAGAAACCCACTAAAAGAACAAAGAATATTTCGAAAAATGAAGAAAAATAATTTAAAGAAAGAAAGGGAAATAGTTTATTCAAAAAGAAGAATAAAGAAAAAGGAAACAAATACAGAAAGAGAAAAGAATAAATCAAACAGAAAAATAAGGAAAAAAGATAGAAATAAAATATTTGTTCAAATAGAGAAAGAAAGAGAAAAATAATTCAATGGAAGAAAGAAAGAAAAGAAAAGAAAAAAGATTAATTCAAAGAGAAAAAGAAACAAAATGGCTAATCCAATGAATGAAAGAAAAAAAAAGACTGATTCAAAAAGAGAAAGAAAGATAAAAAATAATTCAATGAAAGAAAGAAAGATAAAGATGAAAATAGGTAAGTAAGAAAAGGAACTGGAAATTAAAAGTACTAGGAGGAAATAATGACGTAAAAGAAAGAATAAGAGAAAAAAGATAATGTGAACAGTAGATAAAATGGTGGAAAATGGTATAAATAAATAAAAAAGATACGGGGTGGGGAGAAAGAAGGAAAACCACAAAGGAACGAAATTCCTTCGTCTGAAATGAAGGAAATGTTTATCTGCAATAGACTAAGTGAAGCGAGTAAAAGTTCCCGCTCGTTTTGCGAAAAATGGCTGCTCACAAAGAAAATGCCACAAAGACGCAGAGATACGTGGATAAGCAAAATACTATTCGTCTCTGTAGCAATGGGCAAAAGAAGGATGCGACAACTAATTAGCTGAATGCATGTCTGTAAATAAACTTGTTTATTTCAGCAGCAAAAAGAGAGAGAAAAATACAGGGACGGCTTTTGAAAAGAAAACAAAATCACCATGAAAAAAACAGTTAGCGAAAATGGCAACCTGATAGAAGTCTGTTAGGATGGTTAGGGAGAGAGACGAGCTAAAGAGGAGTGAAAAAGACATTCTTACTTTTATAAAAGAGATGATTTAGAGAGAGGTGTTGAATGGAATTAATTGATAAAACTGATAGATAGATAGATAGATAGATAGATAGATAGATAGATAGATAGATAGATAGATAGACTGACGACGAAAAATTGAAATAGTGATACGTTCATAGAGACGAAAACTACATCCAAATATTGACGCAGACGCGTACACAAGGCAATCGCAACAGACGTATGATCATTTATCGTGAATGCCGGAAAATCTCGTCACAGATGAAGAATAGCCTTGAGCCAACACAAATGTAGTTCTACAGAAGGATGCTGAGAATACCATGAACTGAACACGTGAGCAACGACAAAGTTTTAAGGAAGAGAGAAACAAAAAAAAAAGATATTTATACATAGAATCATAAATAAATTTAAATTTCTAGGGCGCATAATGAGAAAAGAGGGATTAGAAAATTTAACACTCGCAGGGATGTTGAAAGCAAGCGGGGCAGAGAAAAACAGCGAATAACCTACCTAACGAGTTTTGTTGGCAAAACAAGAACTAGAGGAGGTAGCAAAAAGACAAACATACCTAAGAGCTACGAAGGAGAGGAAGTAGTGGAGAAACATAATCATTCATATATATACTAGCTTAAAGCCGCCCTACCTAGCAGATGGCACTTGAATGAGCCTTATTTGAGTCCCCAACTTTTTGCATATTCTCATCATTAAAAACACTCCTGGCTGCCGTTTGATCTCGGTTTTTATTTGTACGCGACTTTCTTGTCGTCGATGTATCCTTGGCTCTTATGATTGCAATTTGGTCCCCTGGTCCGTGGAGATTTCTTTTTACGAGGCATACTGCTGCCATATGCGATAGGCAACAATAAACTACAGAAGAACGCAAAATTAATCACTGCATTTAAGTATTGCATTAATATTTAAGCTTACCTTTTAAAAGTTTAATGATAAAGACAATTTGATGTACGTAGGTCCTTACTTACCGTACAAACAATTAGTTTTATTTCATAAGTGACTTTCGCTGAATTTCGCAATTGATTTCGATTATTCCCAAATGTATTTCTAACTTCTAAAAGTTGTCAGCGTACAAAAAAATTCGTCGCAAATATCACGTAAGAAAATCGGAATGATGAAAACTTGGGAATTCAAAATGTCCTAGAATCCAAGAAATCAGCAGTCAATCTCCAAGACCTACAAATTTGTTTTAGGATTTGAAGAGCTGCTATTTTAGTGCTCTCATGAAATGAAAAATTATTACCTATGTTATTTTAAGTATTCTTTAATACACACACACACACACACACACACACACACACACACACACACACACACACACACACACATATATATATATATATATATATATATATATATATATATATATATATATAAAGTGATCAAAATATAGTTTTATGGTATGCTATATTTATGAGTTAAAATGCTCAATACCAGAGATAGAGCTTATGTAATTATAAACGTGGACTCCCAGAGGCGACAGTTCATATATATATATATATATATATATATATATATATATATATATATATATATATATATATGCGTGCGTGCGTGCGTGCGTGCGTGCGTGTGTGTGTGTGTGTGTGTGTCATTCGCAGACAGTACTCAAGTGCAACTAGGCATTCGAATGCCTCAAGCCAGGATTGCTAGGATATATATATATATATATATATATATATATATATATATATATATATATATATATATATATATAGGTACGGTGGAGTAGTGATTAGCGGCTCGAAGATGGTCAACTTTGAATTCAAAACCTGCGTAATGCAGCAGGTTTCTGTATTCGACCCTTCAAAAGTGTGGTTGGTTCTGCACAAAAACTTCACCATTATAATCAAATCATATGTGATGGTTTCTGTGCTGTCGGTTCTAAGAACTGAGCTGCTTGGCCTTTATACGTTGAATACGCCAGGAGAATCCATATATATATATATATATATATATATATATATATATATATATATATATATATACATATATATATATAATTTAAAGAAAAAAACAGGTTCACTGTAAGGTTCCATTGTTATAATTTATTTCACCAGAGAGTTTCTTTTTCTCTGGATCATCAGACCTTACTTCCAAGGATGAAAAAATGAATTTAAACGTAACTTTTGAAGGGCACTATTAAGTATATCTAAGGTTATATAGATGGTGGTGAGAGAGATAGACATGGTCGAAATTAGAGGGGGATTTAGCATTGAGCTCTCCGGATTTCATCCTCCTTGGGATTATCCATACGGATTACCAAGATTTTCATTACATATACATATATATGTATGCAGGCATGTAGTATATCTTTATACCATCACATCATATATAAAAGCAGATGTTGAAAAATTTGGATGGAAGTGTTCTATGTGTTGCTGCTTTTACTATTTGGCTAGTAAAGCTACTGATTATTTGGGTGGAGATTTTTTTCTTAGTATTTGCTCTATTTGGACCTTAGCTTCAGCCAAGGGATCAGCTCACCAAACCTCTGGGGTGTTTCATGTAAACTTCTAATATGTTAATCAAAGATTCTGACATGTAATTATTTTAAAATTTTAAATTTATCCGTTGTAGCTATGTAATTTTTACAAATTTTTTTCGTACTATTCCTAAAATTATGAAGCCATTGAAAAAAATTTAGAATGTTTAAAATTTTAAATGTTTAGCTAGATGATCTCACAAATTAATTTATTAGCATAATGATATATATATCGTCAACAGGGTGGTATGCATGAGTATTGTAAATTTTGTAAATACTATATGTTATTGAACACGGTCAGATTTGTTTATGAGTGCAAAAGATTCTCGCTGATACTGCTCTATCTGTGATTCTATGTAGTGTTAGTATTAATCGTACTATTAGTTGATATGTTATTTTTAAATTCCTTGAAACCCTGCACGTGTTTTTCTGCAACATCGGCGTGAGTGTGTGTTCCTATATAATTATATAGCCTTCACAGTGTTCACCTGAAAGGACACGGAATCAGATCAATAAAAACTAATCAATATCTGTGTAAAAATTCATTGAATACGGAGACTGTATCTTGGCAGTGACTTCTCCAGACTTTTTGTCATACTCTCCCATCCTCACGAGTCGTGTCACATCACAATTGATGAACGGTTCGACCGAGGCTTTCTCTGTTCAAATGCACTGATGGCAATCACAGCGCTGGTCGTATCCACCTGGAAATCGCGCTCCAGTCAAGACCGGAAACATGTGACTTTTCTCTTTTTCTTTTTTTTTTTTTTTTTTTTTTACCCTCAATAGTTGGCTCTACGTTGTACAGATAGCGTCGAAGAGGGACAGGAAATTAAAAAAATAAAAAAAAAGGAAAATGACAATATTTTATTCAACAAATATATCTCGCTTTTATTTGCATTTCGTTCAAAACTATTGTGCTTTTTACATGCCCTTGTGCAAACTCAAAGTGATTTTATCGCACCGAAGACATATTTTAAGATAAGTAGTAAAACTGAGTTTTGTTTAATAGATGACTTGGTAGCTGCAGAGCAAGTAGTTGATTCAGTGTAATTGTTCAACTACATGGAAAACGTCTGATCGATAAGGTGCAATGGTTGCTCGATACGATGAGCTGCACCGTTAGAATGGCATTTAAAAATATTTGTGCAGTGTATACAGATGCAATGAAGGTTCGTGTATGCCGGCTGTTGTTTAAAAGATATAAAAATAGTGATTGTGATATATCAGGCAAACTTCTCTTGCAGAGACAACCCAGTCTCAATGACAAATTTTTGAAGGCGTCTACAGAATTGGATCCACGTCATAACACCAAAGATTTGTCGCAAAATAAACATAACACGTCGTGTTTAACTGCTAAAATCTTAAACTGAAACCTCAAGCGAATTAAGGGAACTTTCAAAGTGGTAATCTGGTTTCCTCGTAAGCTGACGTTTTCGTTGGAGAACCGAGAATATTGTTCCACTCTGTGCAGCAGTCTTTTAAACAATAATGCTTTTTTTATTTTTGCATCGCAGCTGACGTAAAATGAGTTTTGCATGTCAACAGACAACGAACATTATAATGGTTATGAAACAAGAAACCGTTGCCAAAGCCAAACCTCGTGTCTCATAGAATAGGAAAGGTGTCGTCTATTACGATCTATTGGAACATGGAAGGACTTTTTACTGAAGGCGTTTATTGTCGACAATGCATTTCGTTGAAAGTGTCCTCCTTTCGTACTTAGTCTCCAGTATGACAATGTAAGGGCACATGCTGCAAAACAACCCTCCACGAAAATAAGATCGAAGCGATTTTTTTCACAGCCTACTTGCTCTCCATATTTAGCACCTACTGATTTCTATTGGTTTCCATCACTAGAACATTTCATCGTTGGGCGAACCTTCAAAAGCAAAGTCATGTTACAGACGGCGTTATTATCACTGTCTTTCTTTCTATATGCCGTTACATTTCAGGACGTAGGTGATCATGGCACTCCACCCCTCTCTATCCCTTGCAGATCTCGACAAGTTCGTTCCCTCTATCACCGCCTCCAGATCACGTTTTGTCATCCACTTGCTTAAAGCCGCTAGGTATGTTATGCGTTGTTTTTCCCTCTATTCGACCCGTGAGTATCAAATTCTCCTGGCCCTCTATCCTCATTATGTGTCCCATGAAATTCAGCTGTTTGCATCCTCTCCAAGACCTCATCGTTGCTATCACACGCTCGGTTTATGATATACTTAGCATCCTTCTGTAGAAGCACATCTCTGTCGCGTCGATTCTCTTCTTTATATTTTAAAAGAAGGACAGGTGTCCCGTAACAGTTCAGTATTCTTTTCTTTGTTACCAAAGAAATCCTCCTGTCTCGCAATACTCTGACCAGCTTTTGGAATGCGTCCTTGGCCATCCCAATTCGTCTACGGATCTCAGTGTCGCACTTACCGTCCTCTGTCAGAACGCTTCCCAGCTATTTAAACGACAGAGTCTGCTTGATTCTGGTGTTCCGGACCTACAAATTGCATTTCGGACTCATAAATGACCCGAGAATAATGACGGTGGATTAAGAGGGAGGGATATCAAAAGTATTGTTTATCACTGGAAGTAATTAGAGGGGGTGTTGAGAGGCTAACGAAGGGACAAAGTATAAAAAAAGACTTTGTTTATCATTCAAACAGCCAGA